ACGTCGCCGGGGGCTCGAGTTTGCCACTCAAAGTCCATTGGACTCTCTCCCGTTCGTTTGTCCATCTTTGTTTCTCGCTGAATATAGATCCGTAGCGGGTGGATGGTGAGTGTCAAAAGGCGGGAAGTTTTTGTTTGGGGTAAACATCCAGATCCCGTAGCAACCTTGGCATCGACACTCTTTATCTCCGACAAGGACCGTACTTCATCTTCTTCGCACATATCTTTGCTTTATTTTGTGGTGTATATACAGCTTCAGGAAAGAGATTTTAAGCAGTCGTGCTTGAGCAGACCTAATCGAAACATTGACATCGGCCTGTGGAATGGACCACAGATCTAGAGATCTACAACGTTGATATTACAAATGTATAGACAAGACTCAAATCCAACATCGAAGCAAGTATGATCATTTGATGCATCGGGCGACCAGCACCCACTATGGGTATTAAACAAGATGGAAAGCATACAAGACAGACATGAGAAGCCATCTACTCATCCATCTGCCACTGGTATTCCAAAGCCTCAAACCGACTCTTCTTGTTCCGCGACGTAAACCAGTCTTTCTCAAATCCATTGCCACGATCCACGCCATCCCAGCGGTGTCCTGGCCGGATCCCATATCGATTAGGCTGGAATGAGCCCTGATAAAGCGGCCGCCCCGTAACACTGGCTCCCGCATCACGCCGGGCAGTAAGGAACTCCGCAGCGGGATCATTCCACCGATCGCGGGCCCTCATATCTTCGTTCAGTTCCTCGTCCTCGATCGTCCGTGCAAGCGGCATGGCCTTGATATCTTGTAGGTTCTGTCGTCGCTCCTCGCGCTGCTGTCGCTGCACATCTCCCATCAGCGCCTCGCGCGCCTGTTCTTCTTTCTCGCGCTTTTCTTCTTCTGCACGTCGGGCTTCGGCGCGTTTCATGGCCACGTTGATGATTCGGCCGGATGCGTCTCGGTAGATTGTTTCTTGGCTTTTTTGGTTCACTGCTGAGGGATCGCGGTACTGTGCTTCTTCGGCTTTGCGCCGCTTTTCTTGGGCTTTCACCATTGCTGCGGTTTGGGCGGCGGTTTGGAGACCCCCTCGTACTCCGGATTCCATGCGCCCTGCGCCGTCGTCTTCATTTTCTATCATAAGCGCATCTTCGTCGTCGGGGTCTTGGTGGGCGGCGCGTTCAGCTGCTGCATCGGCTAGAATTGCGTCGGCGGCTTCTTGTTCACTTCCTTGGCCGGACGTGGGTCCTCCGATTGTCTTCCAGCTTGACTTCTTTGCGCGGCGGAATTCTGTGGTTCTGGCGGATGTGTCGAAATAAGGTCTATCCTCATCGTCTTCTTCCGTATTTCCTAATGAGCGAATGTCTGGTGGATCATCATCGGCAATGATGAGACCAGAGCCTGCAGTATCGATGGCTTTGGTCTTCTTGCGCTTCTTCTTTGGCCGCTCGGTGGTAGGGTCAGCGGTCAGATAGTTCTTTGCCAGGTAATCGGCGAGTGAGCCAGGCATGATTTCGGTATGCTGTATGTGAGGAATGTGAAATGTAGAGGTGCAGGTTGAGCTCAGTGATTTAATGATCCGGAGGAACGTTTCCCCGAACTGTATGCCGCCTAGCGCCAAGTTAACAAGGCGTGAACGTTATTTGATTGTAGACTCGGCAATGCAGAGTGAGACTTCGAACTTGCTCGCTGAGCTTATTTAGAGGCCTGTACAATGCCACGCTCCGAAGAAGCAGAGTGGTGGGCCAACGCAGTCTACGAAGCCATCAAAGAGATCCCCCGGGGCAAAGTCACTTCCTACGGTCATATCGCACGCCTCCTCGGTGAACGTATGGATGCAATTATATGCTTGTTGGAGATATACTAACCATTTTTCTTTGGTAATAGCTCAGCGTCCCCGCCAGGTCGGAGTCTGTCTCAAGGTGCTTCCGTCACCGGAGTCTGGCTCGTATTTCAATTCGAACACTGTGCCGTGGCAGCGAGTGATTAATTCTAAAGGAATGATTTCGCATCGGTGCGTTTGTTCTAGGCTACCTATTCCGAATTCTTGTATCATATCAAACTGGACCATATAATCTAGACTTGAAACGAACTTTTATACATGTTCACGGCTGACATCTATAACAGTGGACCCGGGAGTGCGGAGCGTCAGGCAGAAGCTCTCGCACAAGAAGGTGTGGAGGTTACTACAGACAGCATGGGCGAGATGTATGTTGATTTTTCTCGGTATGGATGGTTTCCAAGCGAGCTGTCGAGCGAGGGAATGGATGAGCAGCCAGAGAATAACACCCCATAAAGACTATTGAAAACCCTCATACATTGGGGTTTTAGTGCCCTTGCGTTGCATCCGAGCGTTAACAATGATTCAAAAATTTTACGGAGATTGAATCCATACATAGCAAATAGTCATAATTTGTCTGTCTGGAGGGAATCTAGAAGGACTTCCCAGACGAGTGGGAAGTGGGAAGGGATGACACAGGAGACTAAAGACCCATCACGAATATGATCAATGGAATAAGAAAGACGAGTCTATCGGGGAGATATGAGATCGAAAAGCACCAGACACAAAAGGTAGACAGACGTGCAGGGGGAAAGGCGAGGCATAAGCATAGAGCATCTCGAATAACACCCCATCCAACCAACTACCAGCATAGGACGAAAGAAAAGCTTTGAAGAAGAACAAAGACATAAACCAACCAGCATCAATCCGTAAATGGAAAGAGGAAAAAGATCGTTAACTCACATCATCGCCATAAGGGCATGAAAACCCAGGGGATAGTCCCATCTAGGCTAAGGAAAGAGAACAAAGAGGGAGGGGATCACTAAGGTCATCTTCATCGCTTTTTGACCTCAGCAGCCCAGCCTTCAATGCCCTCCCCACGAGTTCCAGGTATAATGCCCAGATCGATCCCATCCATACCAGGCGTGTCCTTTATCCACTCATGAGCTGCCATACCACCAGCGTTCGCCCTCTTCTCCGGTGACAGATCAAGCATGGGCAATAGGAGTTCGCTGATACGCATGCTCTCCTCCATGGAGTAGTGGTACTTTTCTCGCAGGACGTCGGGCAGGGCCCAGTGACGAAGTCGGTGGATATTGCGCAGTTCACCCTTGCGATTGAAAATTTCTTGGGACCATTTGCCGGACATGCAGAGTGACTTGGGGAAGGGACCGAGTAGTTCAATGATTTGGGCGATGTGATCATCGTCCTTGCCATATTTGGTCCCTGATTGGGGGTCGAAGAGGTAGTCTCCAGTGATGAGTTCGAAAACCTAGACAATTAGTATGTTGTTCAGCTTCGGCTGTGATTGATGATCATGCCACTCACCATGCATGCCATACTCCACACGTCGGTACTGGCACCCCACTTAGAGCCCAGTATGACTTCGGGCGAGCGGTATTGACGAGTCTGAATGTCGTTGGTGAAATGATGACCGACCCAACAAGCATTGCCTAAGTCTGCAATCTTAACGGAAATAATATTGACGTCAAGTTCTTCTTCCGGTGATTTGCTCGAAGAGCCTTTATCGAGGGAAATGCCAGACACCTCGCGCTCCAGAAGATCTCTGTATGTATATTGTTAGATTAGATCAAGCTCTTATCAATCAGAGCAAGGCAGATGTATGTCATGACGTACGCAGTTTTCTCTCGCTGGTTCTGCTGCACATCTTCTTCCTTCACCCCAAGCAGTTCTCTCATAGAGGGCGTTTCTGCTGTAGATGCTAGGTCAGTTTCTTTTCTCGCGCGCGGTCGAGCCATGGGTGCATCAAGGGGGACTGACCTGCAGGCTCATTGACCATCTGGCTGAGGCTACTGTGTGAGTTGGAAGAGCTATGTTTGAAGTCGAAGTTATTGAAGTTGGTGTTGAGCGGACTAGGGAGCGGCTGGCTCCCTGTGATCAGTGTGCGTCGCCGTCTCCGCCCGTTCCGGTTATCCTCTTTCTCCTTGGCATCTTTATTGGCTTCTTCCTTGACATGCGCCTTGACGATCTGCTCCACATCTCCAATCTCGATCAGGACATTCTCCGGCTTCAGATCCGTGTGGATGATTCCACACTCGCGGTGGAGGTAGTCCAAGCCCAGCAGTACTTGCTTTGCAATCTGCTTGACTAGCGGCATGGGAATACCGCGATGGTTCCACCGCTTGATCAAACCCAACAGGTTCTCGCCCAGGACTTCAAAAACCATACAAACATGGATACCGTTGGGTCCCTTGTGTTCAAACGAGTCCAGCAGACTGACCACATGCTTCCGACCAGGGTGAGAGGGTTTCGCTTGAACTATTTTGTTGAGGAGCTTGATTTCGTCGATCGCGGTTTCGGTGTAGTGTGCGGCGGATCGAACCACCTTCAGCGCGACATGCTTGTTGGTGGTTGTGTCCCGCGACAGCCAGACCGTCGAAAAATGACCCCATCCAAGCTTGCGCACGATAATATAGCGACCATTGTTGTATGCTTCGCCCACAGCGACGGGGTGGTATCCGCCTTTGCAATAATCTTCGGAGTCCTCCTCTTCCGCGGTAGCCTCGAGTTCTTCGCCAGACGATGAGGATGATGATCGCGATGCGGATGCTTTGGAGTTTGACTGAGCAGCGCCGGTTCTGATCCATGGGAGATTAGTAACCATGTTCATCAGAAATGTTTCAAGACATACGATTCTGTAGCACCGGGCCCAGGGTTCGCTTCATTAGTGACGATGGGCTTCAAGTCGGTGCCCTTTCTCCTCTTCTTTCCGCCGTTGCCATTGGCAGCTGACGCAGCAACGTTTGCCATCTGTTTGCCCTTGTTGAGCATCGCCTTGTTAAGATCGACTCCCTCCATGATGTGGAGATTTGGGAGGTCAAGCTGAGAGGCGGGGCACACTGGCTTTTGGTTGGTTCAAGCGGAACTTAGAGGCGGTGGATGTTGGAGGGGGCGCCTCTACCACCTGCACACACAGTAAAGACACGGTAATCAAATATTGCAGAGGAAGAGTTCAAATAAACTGGGTAGGAATAATTTGAGGAGGGGAAAGAAGATGTCAAAGATTGGAAAATTGCGGGTAAAGGCAAAGGCCAAAGAGAATATGGGCCAGAGCGACGATCCGATCGCAAAAGTCAAGTTTTGTAAGATCAAGAGAAAGATAGATCACTTCGGAGAAAAGGGGAGTGTTGAGATCGATGGGATGGTATTCCGCAAGCAGCCACAGCGTCGTGGTGGCAAATATGGACGCATTGAGTATAGACAATAAATAGCCTTATAAGAATATCCTGGATGCATGTAAATGTGAAGAGAAGAGAAGTCTCAGCGCTGATGCTTTGACTAGCAGAAACTTAGCAAGTAGCAAGTACAACATACGCGTACATGTCAGAGGAGATACATTCTGTGATGCTGACTTTGTTCACTTGGTTATATACTGTAGATGTTTTAGGTCTTTCCTGATACATCTACCTTACTCTACCTATCCTATCCTTGACTACATTTTTATTCATTATTCTATTTAAATTTGAATCAAATAGAAAGAAAAAAAAAAAAAAAGAAAAAGAAAAGATCGACTGCAGTCTTGATGTGACGATCCCCGCTTGGGGTAACTAGCTACCTGACTTGACCTCGGTGGATTCACCTCTTGAACTCTTACTACTCTGAGCCGTTCCTTTGGCTTCTCTGTCACCATGACAAGTCCCTTCAACCGCCGCCCTATTCACGACTACTTCATCGCCTCTCCTCTGGTGGCCCTACTCTATCCAGTACACCAGATATTGCTCCGTCTGCGTGGCCCTCCTCGACTCCCTCCGCCTGGCACTCAACCAATCCGAGTAGTCTGCATTTCCGATACTCACACCCTCGAATGGCCAGACGTACCTGACGGAGACCTTCTCATCCACGCCGGAGACCTCTGCAACAACGGTTCCGCACGCGATATCCAAGCCTCTGTTGACTGGCTCCGGAGCCTTCCCCACCCATACAAAATCGTCATCGGAGGGAACCATGACAGCTACTTCGACGTGCGGTCACGTCTGGATGAGGACCGTAAAGACCCAGCTTCCATGGGGGATTCCTTCGCGGCAATCTCTTCCTCGACGGCATCCATTCGCTCGTTCCACGAGCTGAACGACGACTCCCGCATCGACTGGGGTGACATACACTACCTCCAACACTCAGCCGTGACCCTCTCGTTCGCCGACACCTCTGCGCCCTCGCCCACCGCCCCCAGTACTAGCTCCCGCTCGCGCTCCCTCACAATCTACGGCGCACCCCAAGTCCCAGCCATCGTCCCCTTCGGCCCCGAACACGCGTTCACATACCCTCCACATCACGACGCCTGGTCCGGCACCGTCCCCCCAGAGACAGACATCCTCGTCACCCACACCCCACCCCAATCTCATCTCGACCTGTCCCCCATATTTTCCACCGGCTGTCCCAACCTGCTGGCGGAATCATGGCGTGTCCGTCCTGCCCTCCACGTCTTCGGTCACGTCCATGAATCTGCCGGCCAGGAACCTATCTTCTGGGATGAGGCCCAACGCGCCTGGGAAAGATTGTGTGCCTCGCGCCGCTCGCGTGCGCGTTTTAGCCGCATGTCTTCGCTCGCTGGCTTCCTCCGCGATCTCTTCGATCTATCTGCCTGGGTGGATGCCGCGCGGGTCGTGGGATACGGGATCTCAGGTGTGGTTTGGGCTCACATCTGGGGTGGGGAGAACCTTCATGGTGGGTGGATGGTCAACGCTGCTTGCATGTATCGTGACAGTGGCCGGCTAGGTAACCCGCCGAGGGTTTTTTCCCTGTGATCTTCCACCGGTAAGCATAGCGTTCGCTTTTGGTTCCTGTTCATAATACCATGTTGGTTGGCTTGCGCTTGGTGAACTGCCACTGTAAATAAAGCTGAGCGGTTTACCTACGCCACAAAAGGCGTCTCTTTTCGGCTATTCGCATCTTCAGCCTGAGCAACTCCAAGGTTGGTTCTCAAGATCCACCTTGTATTTCACGTTACAAAAATGATAATTGTATAATATATATATATATTGGCGGTTCTGATCTTGGTAGCAATAGTAACCTAATTCATGGGATCAACAGAACCTCATTGAGCTTCTGGATAATGTCAGAGAGTCAATTATAGTATAACGGCATATGTATACACATACCCTACATATACGGAAAAGAAAGCAACAAATCAAAGGCAAATGTAGACAGAATATATGTCTCCGTTTTTTCAGGTGACACTGAAGCTTATTCTAGGAAGTAAGAAACCTTGAATTCCCACGTGTTGGTATCTCAAGTTCAAAATATATCTCCGTAGTCTTGGTATGAATCATTAAGATTCTACGAGCAAAAAAGTTATTTGTCCAAAATGAATAATTTGTACATATTGCATGGGTATAGAGATATATATGGACTCAATGGTTATATGCCCAGACGATACCACCCTGTAGACCGACGCGAACAACCCAGCAAGCTTCAACACAAACAAAAATGAACTACAATGCAGCAAAGAGGATTACAGCTTCGGCTTCTCATTAAACCTCGGCACCTGCAATGGATCATATGCACTAAGGCCAAGGGTATCAGACGGCACAACCCCGGAGTGGCCACCCAGCAACCCACGGGTATCAAGCAGACTAGGACTGAGATCCGCCACAGTCGGAGCTCCAATCAACCGCATGTTCATCTCCATCTCATCTTTAAGCAGCTGCATAGCACGGTTCACACCATCAAGCCCATAAGCAGACATGGCATACAGGAAGGGCCGCCCAATACCGATACCCCTCGCGCCTAGACAAAGCGCTTTAAGGATATCAGTTGCGCGACGCACACCGCCGTCAACATAGACTTCAATGCGATTTTCCCAGCCACGCTCGCGGAGCGCAGGCATCACCTCGGCCAAAACCTCGATGCCGGACCGCGCAGTCTCGAGCTGCCGTCCGCCGTGGTTGGAGAGCACGACGCCGTCGCAGCCTGCCTCGACGGCGCGCAGGACGTCCTCAACACACTGCACGCCCTTCAGCACGATCGGCATGCGTGTGATGGATTTGAACCAGGGGATATCCTTCCAGGAGAGCCCGGGGTCGATGAAGGAGGAGATGGCGCGGGCGGCGCCCTGGGTGCGGTCGATGTCATCGCCGCCGGACTGGACGTTCGAGCCAGGATCGGAGAACTTAGAACGCATATCTTTCTCGCGGCGGCCGAGCTGGGGCGCGTCGACGGTGATGAAGAGGCCCTTGCAGCCGCGCTCCTCGGCATGCTCGACAATCTTGCGCGTGATTTCGCGGTCTTTGTTGACGTATAGCTGGAGCCATTGCACTTGGTCGCCTTGCTTGGCGTCAATGATTTCGTCCAAGGAGCACGAGGCTAGCGTGGGGATCATTTGTACTACGTTGTGTTCGTGGGCGGCTTTTGTGAGCACCACTTCGCCTTCTGGGTGGCCCAGCTTGCCGAGCGCCGTGGCAGTCACGTAGAATGGGATTGAGCATTTTGTGCCCAGCATTGTTGTGCTCATGTCGATGTGCTCGACATCGACTAGAATTCGCGGCCTAAACCAGATCTTATGGAAGGCTGCGTGGTTCTCGCGCATTGTCTGGTTATAGATTAGCACTGGAGACTTCATGCCTGGGGGTATCAATCTTGATATCATGGTAGCTTACAATTTCATCATCTGCTCCGCTGGAGTAGTATGCCCACGCCGTCTTCTTCATAACTTGGCGGGCCACCACCTCAAAGTCCATCAGGTTGTAGCAAGCCTCGAGATGGGGCATGCGGGAAATGCGCCCTTGGCGTTCGGCCTCCTCCGGGTCGAAAGCTTTTTCTTCCTGCTCAACGGTTGCCATGTCTACTGCTCCCAAGTGCTTCGACGGGTCCAGGAACTTGTCCAGGGTGTCGGGTGGGTGGATTGGTTCGAACTCTTCGGTCGCATCTTTGCCTGCATACTTGAGGATGATCTTCTGACCACCGGGGTGTTCTGAGAAATATTAGTGCACATTCGAGGAGAGAAACGTAGTAAAGAAACACATACCCGGGAGGAATTCGGTTACGTCGTAGGCTTTGCCGTGCACGATGATCCAGCACGAGTCTTTGGAGTTGTGCTCGGCGACAACTGCGCCGGTGAGCTTGCCTGCGCTCATATTGAAAACGGATAAGAGTGTATATCGTTCGCTGAAGAGTAGAAGAGAGGAAGTAATGAAAGGGAAAAAGATCTAGTGGACCCTCGGGATAAATGAGTCCGGGGGAGAAAGTTGCGGGGGAGCCTCTCGGCCGACTTGTCGGATGAGACTCGCCTCGTCGGATGAGAACTCAAATGCTCCTTAGGTCCGTATATTAATTGAATTGAACGTATTCCTAAGATCAAGCCCAAAATCCAAAGGATCTAAGGGATTGGTGGGGGATCGTTGTGGGAGCCTCGGTCTGGGTCATCTCCTCTATATTGGATTCAGCCAGTAGTAAGGAACGTATTACATGCTTGGATGTTCCCTTCACAAACAGTATTTCCCAATGCTGTTTTTGTTGTGCTATACATGCTGCATTCAGAAAAGAAACAACCTCACCTATAGATTCGCTGTTGACAGCCCTACATTCCCTTGTTGGAATGTCGGGGTCGGGGTAAGAATAGTTCATCGCCTGAGGCAGAAGGATTCACATGCCTCATCACGTGACTTTCATCATCAGAATACACAAAGTGTATCATAACGCCATTGTGTTGAAGTGCAGTTTCTAAGGCTTTTATCATAAGCTTAATCCAACGGGTAATGTAAGCTGAAAATTGGACAACAACGTTCACATTATAAATAGTGGATATCATTGGACGGACGAACAGCGAGCCTATGTACCTCGGTCTTGACTGACACCGCCACCGTCCATCGCCTACTTGGTTTCTAGCTTGAAGTTCAAAGAGACTGCAATATACGGAGTAACACTGGTCAAGTTTGCAACGCGCGTAAGGCGCACATATCACTTTGTGATCTGCATCGGTGCAGATCTATAATCGGGCAAGTTCGGTCATTCCTCGCACCTCCGGATATCCTCCACCCTCCCACACCTCCGCCATTTCTCCATCTTCGGCTACAGGGGGTGGCCACAGCCCCTCCTTGTTGCGTCGTGGATGCCGCTGCTGACGTTGTACGGGGAAGGGGCTCCGCCAAGTGCACTGTCCACGAGTTGTACCATGTGTATGTGGCGCATTGTTGTAATCGTTCAATCTGTCCATTTAGATCAAATTGGGCTTAAGCTGTTGCCACCGATGCTTGTAGTTCAATTGAGCGG